TCCCGATACCAAGTTCCACTCATAAACGTGCCACAGTGTGGGAGGAGAATGAGTTATGATTTCCCATTCACGCTGAATTTAACCATTAAACTAAATTCCTTTCAGAACATTTGGCCGGTTTTCCGTTCAACAGGAACCCTTAATGTGCTGGAGAAGAGGAACCTGCAGGAGCTCTGTTAGAAACTGAGAGAGAAAGAGAGTAAAGGGGGATAGAGGGAGGGGTGTGGAGGGCACAGCTGGGCTGAGCGAGGTTAGTGGATCTCCTCTCGTCCCGCTCCACAGTGCCCCTCTGCTCTGGCTAATTGTGAGCTATTAGTCTCCACCGCTGAAAATTACATGTCTTATTAAATACAGAATTCCAAATGAGCCACGTTAAATCAGAAAGTGCTCCCCTTTTAATGAAGCTAATTTATATGGAAATTGAGCATAATCCACACGATTCAGAGGCAGATTTATCCTCATTGGGTGAAGCTGGAGAAATCAGTGCAAAAAAAAGTTTTTTCCCCTCTCTGTACTTTTCTAGAGCTGAATTTTGGTTTGAGGTCAAACTGGCATTGCTCTCTTCGGGAGGTCTGTACAGAAAGCTGATTTGGCATTTAATTCCCAGCTTTTGATATCAGAAATTCAGTTGGAACAAGTAAAAATGTCATTTGCGCTAGTAAAAACGTGAAATTTGACAGAATTTTAAGATTTTGGTTCTCATTAGGCTTTTCCAAATTCAGAGTGGTTTGATGTGAAATGCTGTTCTAGAGAAGCTTACTGACTCTGATTTCTTTACAGTGGTGCTGAGAGGAACAAGGAGTCACAATGTCTACAAGACAAAACTATCCAAAACCACCACATGCCTTTTTATACACACTTGATTCTTCAGGGGTTCTTTAGTAAAGAAAATGGCTCTATTTAGAACCATGAACACTCACAGAACCCTTTGAATGATGAAACAATTCTTTGCATGATTACAGCGTTCTTTGCATCGTGAAATGGTTCTTCAGATTGATGGGGAATTTGTTGTATATGGTTCTAGATAACACCTTTTTTAAAAGGGTTCTGCTTTTGTTACAAGGTTGACAACGTAACTAGAGAAGAACCCTTTTTAGAGCTGTACAGAACCATTTTCAAAGAGGTTCAAAGATATAGGACCATACACAACACTTTCTCTATCAATCTGAAGAACACTTTCATGATGCAAAGAACCCTTAAATCATGCAAAGGGTTCTTTGAGCCTTTTGTGATGCTATACAGAACCATGGTCAAAGACGTTCTATATAGAACTTTATACAGCACATTCTCTATCAATATGAAGAATGCTTCATGATGCAAAGAACCTTTAACTTTCTTTGAGTGTTCTTAGTTCTAAATAGAAACATTTTCTTTATTTAGGAACCTTGAAGAACCATCTGTTTATGTGTATGTGTAATGTTAATGTTGTAAACTTTGACTGCTTTGCCCTTCCAACAGCCTGCATGTGAAAAAAAAACACTTATTTTGGTCAAAATCTTTGCAAAACTATCATAATTTAGTCACTACTAGACAATGTTTATTCATAACCATTTCATGTAATAACTCTGTGAGGGAGCTTTCAGAGGTGATAAACTCTTCAGACGTCTGGTTCCTACCACCACTGTGAATAATTCTAGTTTCTCTAGAGCAGAGCATTTCACACCAAACCACTCTGAATGACTTTGTTTACAAATTAGCTTCACACTTGGCAAAATTGTTCCCCCCTTCATTAGCATAAATTGGAAAAGACCATTCATACTGAGAACTGAGATCTTACGTTAAAGGGGAATTCCACCTATTTAAAAAAAAAGCTCTACACAATTCAATCACTGAAATGTAAACACTCAGAGTGGTTTGTTGTGAAATGCTTCATTGTAGAGAAACTTAGCAACTCAGAATTCTTCACAGTGGTGGTGATGGGAACCAGGGGTCACCATGTCTACAACACCAATATTTTATTTACTACCCAAAACCACCAGTGAACCTACATGACTTTTTGAGATTTTATGTAATGTTGCTGATGGTAAAATAGTAGTAAAACATACATTTTCTTCAGACATTCTTGCCTTACAGTACTCTGTATGTACCTCTCCGCATTAATGTATTTTAAAAAATACATGTGTTTAGGCCAAAACCTGCTCCCAAAACTACATAAAGCAATATTTCAGTCACTAGACCACGTGTCAGGCTCCAGTCCTCGTGAAACAAAACACTGCAGACTTCAGCACACTGCCTCATTGAACACACTTGATTCAGCTCACAAGCTAATTAGCAAAGCCTTAATGAAAGGTAAACGCTAATCTCTGCAGCACTTTGACCCGGAAGGTCCCCATTTTGACATGCCTGCACTAGACAGTGTAATCATACCCATTTCATTTAGTAACTTTCTGTGTGGGAGATTTTAGATGCATTAAACTCTTCAGACATCTGGTTCCTATCACCACCACTGTAAACAATTCTGACTTGCTAAGTTTCTCTAGAACGGAGCATTTCACACTAAACCACTCTGAATGGCTTTGTTTACATCTTAACCATTTAATTATGCAGACATTTTGAATGATCAGTGAATTCTTCTAATAGAATTACTAGTACTAATGATATCTTTACTTGTTTAAATCGAATTTCTCATAGACATTTTGGATTAAAAACTAAAACAGCTGGCCAGTCATCAAGTCCTTGTCCAGCTCTGGTTATAACTGTTCTGAGTTTTCTTGAAATAGTGGATAAAGATGGGCTGCAGAAAAAAACATTCACTAGTCCAGCTGCTTTTAAGGCCGGTTACCTGGAGGTCAATATGAGCACGACTGGGGAAGAGAATTTCTGCAAACAATGCAGCAGCAAAAGGGGATCCATGACTCACCCTGATGATTCATAACATGCAGCTTTACTTTGGGCTGTTAAAAGCTCTTATTTCTTGAGGAGAACTTAATTAGAGGCAGCCTTTGCCTTTGTGTGACCCTTTTTGATTCTCTAATTCACTTTCCCTCAATCAATTACTCCCCCTCTCCCCCCCTCTCTCTCTCTCTGCTTGCAACATCTCTCTGTCCATCAGTGCAGACAGCCAGTGGACATCCAATGATTTATTAATGCAGCAGCTGGTTGCGGAACATCAGCATGTTTATATGTTCAATGTTGCCATCTAGTGGAGCTCTAAAACACCACCTAACAGCAAACCCACAAACCGTAGAGATTGAAGGAATATTTTAGTCCAATTAAATTGATTCTAAGTTTTAAATGCAATTACAAAAACAAGTAAAACATTAAGTATTGAAATGCATTTCAATTTGCATTTTATTATTTAGAACGTCACAGTAATTAGTGATGCACCGATACAGGAACTGTGGGCCGATGTCAATGTTTTTCATGTACATAGTGATAGAAACATTCATAAAATGTAGAAATCTACTTGGATCAGCATCACAGAGGAATGTGACTATGATGAGGCAACATCTGCCCTCATCACAGAGCTCTCACTCAGTGCCATCTCCTTGAAGTCTGCCCCTGACAGCCCTCTTCATCTCTGGAGCTTCTATGTGAATCATGAATACTGCTGTTTTCCGTGATTTATTTACATGCGGTAGTTATTTTTGGTTTTATTTTGATGAAGTTGTGTTTTTTAAGTACATATGTGTCAGGAGGGAGTGAGGCCTTGAGCCACAGTCAGGCTTAGTGCACTAACAGGCCTCTGGCTCCACTTCATTTAAGGGGTGGGGTGGGGGGTGGGGGGAGCTATAGGCTAATCAGGGTGCAAGGGAATGGCTGTAGGAGGCAAGCCAGATTAAATCAATGTATGTTTGTTAGGTTAGCTGATCTAATTTGTAATCTTTTTTTTGTTTTCTCATGAACTTGGGATTGTTTTTGCTATAAAACTTCACCCTTTTGGGCACTACTCCAATTGCCTGTCCTATTTTAAGGCCTCCGTGCAGTGGCCCTACAACGAAAACATTTATTCTGTGGAGTTAGAAATGTAGTGAGAAGGGCCTGGGTTTGGTTTGAAACCCAATATCTGCTGACACGGTCATTGTGCATTATTCGTTGTCAGCCATCTTCGCATATTTAGCTAAAGCTACTTCTCTAACAGCATCCAGGTAATACTGCTAATCTAGGATCAGTTTCTGTCAGTAAAATTACTTTAGATAAGAGAGGAATCCGATCCTGGATCAGGCCTTCTACTCTGAGAACCTTCCTGATTATGGCCCTAGAACAATAATGAAGTGGAAGCGAAAATAATTAGCTCAGAAAAACAATGATTTCTTCTAATCCCTCCGTCTACAGCACTGTGCAAAATCAGAGACCACCTATCATTTATTTAATTTTCAGTTTAAATGACCATTAAGGTCAAGTTATTCATTTTTCAGGAGAAATTTCAGAGACTTCTAACAAACATCTGGAAAACCTGATAAACACCAAAACTGTCCCCATCAGATAAACAGCACTTAAAGCTTTCATCTTTAAGAGAGAGGAGAAAATCAAGCTGCTTCAGATCTGAAAACATCCACAGGTGTTTCTGTCCATCCTTGCACTGTGAGAAGACAACTCAGCGCTATGGGTCTGAAAGGATGTGTAGCTGTCAAGAAGCTTCACTGAGAAAAGGAGACAGGCACATCAAACAAAGAAGCTGAACAATGGACTGACCACCCCAGAGTCCAGACCTCAACATCACTGAATGTGTTTGATTACTTCAGAAAATGATCAACCAACTTCTAAGACTGAACTTTGGAGGTGTGTCTGCAGATTTCTTTAAATAACTGAAAGTGAGTCTCCTGAAAAGAATGGAAGCTGTAATAAAGATAAAAATGTAATATTGTATTTAGTTGTTAAGGCTAAATACATGTCTTCAGCTTTTTTCTCCACTGATGCTGAAAAATGAGTAACTTGTACCGAATGGCTGTTTTGACTGGAAATTAAATAAAGGACAGGTGCTCTCTGACTCCCCCCCCCCAGAAGTGTATTTTACTTTTTCCTATTAAGAGAACAAAGAAGAAGAAAAACTGCAACACTCAGGTTAAGCAAAAGGTTTAATTGAAAAACAAAACAAAAAATGAAAAACAAAAAATTCACAAAGATTTGCATAAATACATGATTAATAACATCTTTTATATAAAAGCAATACATTTCAACATATAGACAAGCATCTGAAAAAAAGAATAGTGCATATGCAAAAAAGCCTAGAGAAAAATAATTTAAACTTTGTCCACCTGTTGTGACATTTGTGAGAAAGCTTTGGTGCATCTTTTTTAATTCAACAGGTGTTTGAACCTTGTTCAGGGGTCATCTGTATCAAACCTTTCAGAAATCTGATTGACGGTCAGTTTTTGCCTTTCATATGTGGATCAAGAGGGACTGATCCTAGATTACGTACAGTATATGTCCAAAAGTATCCAGACAGCCCTTCCAACGAGTGAATACAGCTACCGACCAATACAATGGGATGCTCTGGAGCAGCTACACATGAGCCTAAGGTCACCATGCCCAAAGTCTAGTGTGGGCTAGGGGGGAATAAAGCCCAGCAGTATTGGCCTCGAACTGGAGTGATGGAGCTCCAATCCAATACCTTTGGGATGAGTTGGAGTGTCCAGAACTGATCATCCAACATCAGCACCTGACCTCACTAATGCTCACAGCAGTATTCCAACATCTAGTGTAAAGCTTTCCCAGAACAGTAGAGGCTGTTACTGCAGCAAAGAAGGACAAACTCCCTATTAATACCCTTCATTTCAGATGAAAAGCTGGACAGGCACGTGTCTACAAACTTTTGGACACATAGTGTACTTCATCTGAGACGTTTTACATAAACAGGTGAAACTGAAATATTCTGCAAGTTCAACAACTACAGGCAAAGAGTTTCATACACAACGATTTAACGATTATGTCACACCAAAAACACGTCCGTTTTAGCACCCCTTGCATAATAAAGAAATAAATCAAGTTGTGACGAAAAAAAAAGAAAAAAAAGAAAAACAAAGTTCGCTGGCTGAGTGAATTCACCGAGATTATCAAGATTAGCAGTGGCAGACTTCAGATAGCATTAGGCCACTTTAAACAAAACAAGAAATTAAATGAACTAAAAGTCTCATATTACACTAAACTGGACAGAAATAAAATTGACATTAGCACGAAAAAAAAACACTCCAATTAGAGCTCAAGCTTTGCTACCTGGCAGTAGACGTTAGTCCATCTCCACCACTTCTGTTCCGTAATTCCATCCTTCCCAACTCATCTACTCAACCACTTTTCACCTGCCAGTTAGATCCGCACCTTTAAGGTAGAAAGCTCTCTAACACAGTACAAAAATAAAACTCAGAAATCAATAAGGCATAAAAAAATAATGTGTGCTAAATAATGTTAATCTTTCTACAGTTGTTTCAACTCTATAAAAATAGTTTAAAAATCTAACAAGAATTCAGTACAGTGTCTCAATATAGTCATCTACACAATATTGGTTTCTTCAAACATCAGACAGCGACAGGTCGAGAGTAGAAACATAAAAAAAGAGCGACCTTGCTCTTTCCCTCCTAAGATATTACCGTATGAAGGCTCAACTGACAGAAACACAGTAAAATCTGCTTGTTTAGTAGCTTAAAGCAGCCTCTGGTTTGAATATTCTGTCCTAAAGTATAAGAGGAAACTGGACATTCTGCACTGAAACTAAGGAAACAATTCACTTGATGTCAATCAGTCTAACATGCTAACAATAACCTGTTAACATTATTTAAATAACCTCTGCCAACTGGTTCCTGCTGGCTTTTATTTGTTTGGAAATGTGTTCGTTTTTTCCAGCATAATCTCTCTGTCTTGCATACTGAGTACTGAGGACCCGACTGATATATTGGTTGGCTGATAATATTGGCCAATATTAGCAAACCACAATATTATCAGCATCAGCCGATAATTAGCGCCCTTTTTTTGGATGGGCACAGGCAAGATTCGATCTCTTGATGATACGTCAAAACCTTACAACAGCTGAATGTGAAGCACTCTCAGTTTAACTATGTGACAGTAATACAGACTGGTGTCACAAAATTACATAAGATGCATCCAAACCTAAAATTTAGCATCAAAATAACACATTAAGACAGGGTTTCTCAAACTGTGGGCCGTGGACCACGAGTGGGTCGTGAAGCACCCTCTAGTGGTCGGTGGGCCTGTACTCAAAGGGAGGCAGCAGTTCGTAGTGGGCTAATGACATGACTTCAAATCATAAAAACATAAGTGGGGAAAAAAAGATTAACTAAAAATCTAAGAATCTCATACATTCCTATTCTTTGTCTTTTCAGCCATTTGTTTTTTTTAACATAACTGCAAATATTGCAAATCTACTGACAACCAGAATGGATCTGATCTTTTTCAGGCCTTAATTTTAGGTTTTCAGTGTTAGCATTTAAGAAAAGAAAAAGAAAATCGCATTTCAAATGTTGGTTTTAGTTTTCTTGTGGGCCGCTACGCTTTGTAGTTATGAAAAGGTGGGTCTTGGGGTGGAAAAGGTTGAGAACCCATGTGTTATGACATTTTTAATGGAGAGAAAAATGAGGTGATTGAAACCAAAAGCACAACATATTCTGGGCTGCTGCATCTACAGGGCTATATATGATTTAACGTACTTTATATAGTATTACTTTAGAGTTTCTGCTGTTTAACTGTTTAATAAGTGTCAAGGCTGAGGACTGAAAGTACGACTAATACGACTACAGTATAAAATTAAAATCTAAAAAATAAATCCAAAATTACATCGGCCAACATCAGTGATCATAAACTTTTAGCCCCTTGAAATCGGCACTGGCCACAGAATTCTCATATCGGTCGGGCCCTATTAATTACCACAGGCGACAATTTCCTTGCACTTGGAAAAAGAACAGAAAACACATTTAAAATCAAAGCCAAGCAACTGCCCACTGGCTTCTATTAGTAGAGAGTTGAGCCAACAAGATTTCTGTTCTTTGTCAAGTATAGGTGAAGTCAAAATTATTGTCTGCGGGTAATCGACTGCAGAAAATCAGCAGAGAGAGATTAAAATGCTGAAGTATCCCTTTAAGCTGAACGAAACAAACCAGACACCTCCAAATGTGCTGTCCATTATGTGGCCTGCCAGTCAGAGAGCTCTGAGGTGAGTGAATTATTAACCAACCTCAGGCTCAAGTCCACTAGAATAAAAATCACTGATCTGAAAAACACTGAAGCAATGAGAACATGAGAATCCTCGCAGCTGTCAATCAATCCATTTAAAGGAACAGTTCAGCCAGGAATAAAATGTAAACAATTTCTCCTTACCTCAAATCTCAACCAAGCAACACGTTAGTTGTCTGAAGCTTTACGATAATAATAATAATAATAATACTGATAATAATAATAATAATAATAATAATAATAATAATGAAGTCTGTTTACATTGGAGCTACAATGCTAATGTAGCTGACAAGTAATGGAAGCTTATGGCCACCAATTAGCATAGTGCAAACTGCATGCCTAAATCATCACACAGTCGCCTTGCTTATGGTGTTTAAGTTGAATTCCACCACATTCAGAGCTGTTTGAAGTAAAATGTTCCATTCTACAGCGTTCTGTGCAGGTACACTTTTCAGTCATCAAGCTACAAACAATGTAAATGTTCCCTCAAAGGTACCACAGTGTTTTTTAGGTCAAATTGTGCACCTTAAATAAGTTTTTTTCCAGGTGAAAAGTACATATTTGTATCTTTTCATAACATAATGTTTTAAAACAATAAAATAAAAAGCCTGGAGACAAGACGGGGTGTGTGGAGTCAAAACAGCTTTGAAAATATCGTTTCAGTGGATTATGGTACAATTATGTTCCCTGACTAAAGGTACCGAAATGTACCCTTGAGGGTACCACCCCAGTGACAAGAGGGGTACTGCCCCAGTAACAGTTTTATACCTTTATTTCTGAGAGTGTAGAGAAACTTACTGAGTCAGAATTGGTCACAGTGGTGGTGATGGGTACCAGACATCAGAAGTGTTTAATACCTCCGAAAGCTTCCTTACTATTAGATGGAAACTATTAGATGAAAGTAGTACTATGTTGCTTAATGCCGGAGACATTGTTTTACAATAATTTTACAATAAAGTTTAGGCCTAAAATGTACATTATTAACAGATTTTCCACTACCGTAATCAACATTACAAAATAAAAGCTCAGAAGACATGTGTAGGTGCACTGGTTGTTTTGGATAGTAAATAAAATGGCTACATTTGTGTTGTAGACATTGTGACCCCTGGGTTCCTATCACCACCACTGTAAAGAAATCTGAAACGGTCATTATATACTGTTATCTTAATATTAGACAAAAGAACAGACTAAGCACATTGGCTGATCCACATTAGAATTAAGGGGGAAACTGCTCAAACTTTTCACCAGACTGTTCCTTTGTTGTGTAATCTAATCCTACTAGGCCGCATAAAGAGGTGAGATGAGGATGTGTAGTGGTAATATCAAAATCACTGGGAAAGAGCAAGAGTTCTCCTTTACACGATTTGGCAATTAACACATGTACAGCATTGGACGGAAGTGTGCGAGTGTGTGTGTGAATGTGAGTGTTTATACACGCTCAGAAAAGCTTATCAGAGAAATAAAAAAACAAAAAAAACAATACCCCTCACGAACATTTTGGTTGTACAAATTTGAAAAACCAGGACAAACTGAGTCTTTTAACCACATGCCCTTATTTTCCTTTTTTTCCCCAAATCAAACAACCAGGCAACATGATTCATGCACGGTCCATAACATGCACACGTGCATACATATCCGCACCATCACGGCTTCCTCGAGAGAAAAGGACACTGTAAAAGGTTACGCACTCCGACGTACAACTCTTAACGAAGAATCATGCCAGAGGCAAGCGCCTGCACAAAACGAAGACAAAGAGAAAGAGAGAGAGATCATTGTAACTGAAAACAAGCCATCCACAGCATATACTGTCATTATCTTAAGGACACTTGAAAAAGGATTGTATCGTTTCACTAGAACCCACCGCAGAGCGGCCCTGGCCATGCTAGAAGAGATGAGCATGGCGTAGAGAGGGGAAAACAGCTAAAAAAGCTAAAAGGCAAAACGAATTTAGATCACATATTCACTCTAAAAAGGCCACAAATGCTTTGTACTGCTGAAGAGGCCATGTTCCTTCAGCAGAGCTTTTAGTCTAGTAGTTATTCAAAGCTTTGTAAGAACCTTCCAGTAACAGCACCCCCTCCAAACTAAGTTTTATTCCAAGTCTGATAAACTTTACAAAACAGCTACCCTGCCAGAAAATGATAGGGCACAGTTCCTAGGCTCAGGGTTAAAACTATTAAAGGGCCCATATCCTATGTTTTCTATTTTTTTCTTATTTCATTTTTCACCCCACGTGAGATACACTATAATGTTTGTGTTGTATTATGTACCAAAAACAACACACACACGCACATACACAAAGCCACAATTCATTTTTACATGACTCTCTCTTTATCCTTTAGAAGAGGCTGTTTTTGTTACTGTGTCTTTCAGACTTGATACATGTAAATGAGCCTATGTTCTGATTCTTTCAGCAGGGCTGAAAAATTCCTTATAATGCCAGCATGAATGGAGCTAAGCCACTGTAGGCTGAATGATGATAACGGTAGAGGTATATGTAAATGAATTGGTTTTGTGACATCACAACAACCAGGGGGTAAAAAACCCCAAAACAACACAAAAACACAAACAAAAAAAATTAATGCAAAAATAGCAGCTTAGCCTTCATATATGGACTGTATAGACTGGGGAGAGAATGTTTCAAAACTAAGTGTTTACATACTACATCAAAAGAGCTCACTTTTCCATGATATGGGCCCTTTAACGTACCAGTAAACAACAAGGCTGAAAACAGAGCCAGACTTCCCTTACAGTGGACACTGATAATCAGGAGCCAATGCCGCAGTAATGCACCTCATTTCTGTCACAGCATAAAGATCTCTGTAAGAAAATAAAGCATCTACCACTCTGTAATAGGTATATTATCTTAAAGTAGAGCGACTGTCCATCTGTAATAGTTAGACGATGAAATTGTGACTTCACTACTTGGGGACAAAACCTAAGTCAAAGCTTAGGAGCAAATATTTAAGATATACAGAGTTGCCCTTTCAAATATGTGCCTCCCACACCTGGGGGGAGCTCTAAGAAAACAGGATGACCATAATTCTGTAATAGTTATATGATTTTAAAGTAGAGTGACTAATAGTTACATATTCTATCACTCTATAACAGAGCAATTATTTAAAAACTAACAGCTGCCCCTTTTAAATGTGTATTTATGCATTATATCTCCCAAGCCACAAGGGGGAGCTCTAAGAAGTAGAGCTTACTCTGTTATAGTTATAGTCATAGCAATATAGTTTTAGGGGAACACAGACTAAGTCAAAACTCAGAAGCAGTTATTTTTAAGATCTACAAAGTTGCCTTTTCAAATGTGTATTTTTGCATTGCATCCCCTCCAGGCCTACAGGGGGAGCTCTAAGAAAGAACAACTACCACTCTAATAGTCACATGATCAAGTAATCACATCACATTGATGTTTTTTTGCGGAACACAACCTAAAGGCCGTTACGCGCCAAACGTGACACAAATAAACACCACGAAACTGCAAAAAAATTCGGACAAAAATTTGCATCACTATATACACAGCAGAAAGGATCGTATTCTGGAATTTCGCTGTGGAAAAAAATTACAAACAGTGCGTCCGTGCTCCTCACAAAAACGGTCAGACAGTGACACCGGGCAGGCCATTTTCCTTTTCAGAAAAGCGAAAGGAGCTTCACCACCTCACTCAGGAGCTGAAACTTTGCGCTCATATTTCTCGGATGTTTGTAATTCAGTTTGAGCTGCTTTTGGAGGAGCAGCTCCACACATGACAAATTAAAAGTCAAAGTAATCCTTTTGATGTTTGTCTAAAAGTTCTAGTTTCTGCAACAACGATCCGTTATCTTGGTGGTTGCCATGCCTACGAGACAACAGTGACTGGTCGATTGAGTTCACGTCGTTTAACAGAGGGCGAATAAAGTGTCATTTTCGCTGTCTGAAAAACTGTGTTTGGTGTAGGGCTGGGCAATATGACAGATGTTTAGCATTACTGTAACAAATTATAGCTGCATCCCAATTGAGAGGCTGCATCCTTCAAAGGCTGCATTTGAAGTCCGACTGGGTCACAGCGGCACGACTAGGCTGTCCCATTTCGAAAGCACCTTCATATGTGGCCGAGAAATGTGTCTGTCTTTTCCATGGCAATGAAGGATCCAACGGGTGGATATGGTTTGCAAGATATCATCAGTTATACATGTTTGAATTCATTTTGGACATCTGAATAAATCATGCTAATCACGCTCAGTGTGTTAAGGCCTTAAGTCAGATATGCATACAGTTTTAAAGTCTGACAGCTGCCCTACCAAATGTATATTTATGCACTCAGGAGGAAGGACAGCAACTACCACTTTGATTGGGAACATATGCGGACATTATTTTCAGAATCAAAATCACAGTTTCAATCCTTCTTCCTAACTTGCCCTTGCCAACGTCAAATGGCCACTCAGATGTGTTACACAGGTGGTTACTAGGGATGTGCACAGGTACTTGAACACTCCATTAACCATTCAAGGTGCCAGGATTTGAATACTGAAATTACTGTTTGGATGTTCTTTACCTTTCATCGCAGGAAGGCAAAATATTCGGGCTAACAGTTCAGTGAAAGGCCAATTTTATGTTTTAATAGAACTGTAAGATGTCAATTTGCTTCTACCTGCAAGTCATTTTGAATATTGTATTACACTTTCCTATTCCCATTTCCTACTTTTCTCTTTCTATGCCTTAACGTGAGTGTGTTACCAAGGACGTGTTATTGAGAAGGCAGATGCAGCAAGGCTTTAGGCTAACTACTCTAGCTGATAGTCTAATTAGCATCCAGTATTGTACCGTTAGCTCTAGTTTTAGAGGCAGCCTCGGCTCCTCATCCAACAAAACTACCAATTTTTCTCAGCTTAAATAATTTAAAAAAGTCTAATAACGCAAGTCTACAATCCTACATTAATGTTAGCCGAAGTCCACTGTTGCCACCGTTTTCTTCCATGTGGTTAACCGATGGTTAATTAACCCTAACGGGTATTTTTACATATCAAAATTAGTCATAATGCCCATCCCTAGTAGCCACTCGTGGCAGAAGGGGAGGATGGTATGGCGAGGAGCAGACTATTCAAACAGCTCAGCTAGGTTAGCCTGTGTGAGCTTATCGGCTAGCCATGCAAACTTTGCAATGCAAAAGGATTTTTCCAGCCGTCCAAACATATTGTACATACAATCTGCGCAGAATTGTTTTGTTCTGCAATTAAACTTTGTTTAGAACTGTGGCCTTTCTTTTAGTTACTGTTAGCCATGTAGACTTTAGCATGCTAACTATCCAGCTATCAGAGTAAGTTCTATCAGCAGTCATGTATAAGAGATGCAGTAGTTTGCAACCTAAAGCCCAGCAAATTGAACACTGTAACTTCAAAACAGTTTACTGCTATGGCTTATAAACAGGTTTGTCCACCATAATTTTCAACTCTGAAAAAGGAAAAGCATCAGATCACAATGATTTCTGGATGGCTGAAGTCAACACCTGCGTTCACTAGTTCCCTCGCCCTTACCGAGGGCTCATCTATTAAAATTCACTAGTTCATTAAATAAAAAAGTTAATAAAGTAATAGAACGGCCCAAAAATGGCAAAGGGAGCTCCCACGAGAGGAAATGCCAATCCTGCGTGATGTATTATGAGACAAGTCCTTCTCTCCTTCTTTAAACAAAATCAGTCCCTGTTACACAGCTGAGGTCATTAAAAGACAAATCCACCCCGTCACCAGTGAGGAACTCGAGAGCCCTCGCTTGCTTGCCTCTGATTCTCTAACTGAGCTTTTAGCTTAGCCCAAACAGTTTCACAGCTAAGGGCTTAACTCTGGAAAAACAAAAAGGGCACTTCTTAAAAAAAGCCTCTATCCACACAGACAGAGTGTTTCATCAGAGACACAGTGACTGAGGCTGAGTAGGGTGTCAAGTTAAGCACCAGGGCTACGAATTTCACTTTCTTCTGGAGTTAAATGCTAAATGCTAAGCCCTGAAGGATGAGAGAGAAAGAGAGAAAGAGAGAAGAGGAGAGATAGACTGAGATAGATAGATAGATTCCCCTGATGAAGATTCTGGTTATCGTTTCATTCACTCTTGGGTAAAAAGTCACAAAATTCAGCAAGTTTGTGAGCTAGCATGGCGCTAGCACCTCTAAAACAGCGCTAGCTGAACATGGCAACACATTTTACGGTTGCCTTTCCAGCTTTTTCCAACACTCCTTTATCACTCCCACCAACAGCAAAGTCTTCTGTAAACCCTTCTCAAAACACTAGACCCAAACTGCAGTGGAATATTAAAAAAGTCAGATTTCTAAGGAGGATTAAACACCCACAACAATCAAACAAAAAATCCAGACAAAAACAAAAGCCACACGAAGCATCTAACTCTGTTCACTCGAGCCTAGACCTTACAGTTAAGGTGTCTGTGTGATTCAGTGGTTCTTTCAGGAGACAAAGTTTTTTCTTTTTTTCCCCCCACAGTTGGAGTTAAGAAAGAGAAAAACAGCATCACATTTCCAGCATCCTCCTTCCCTTCATCTAGGAGGCTTTTGTTTTTCTGGCTCGGGGTGATGTTTTGTCCTCTGGTTTCATCACTCCATTTACCGAACCTCCTGTCAGACAAAAAACAAACACAATTTATATTATAAATATGTTTAATTTTATCAGAAAATGCACAATTAATAGCCAAAGACAACACAAAAAAACCTGTTTCTTACACATAATTAATTTTCCAAGGCATTTTACCCCATTTTTATCCCAAATAACACTAATTTTGCTAGCAGTCAGTGAAAGTGAATGGCCTTTAGCATTAAGCAGTGTCACCATGTTAAATGGCATGGTGATGTTTTGCGTAATGCTAATGGCTATTCACTTTCATTCACTGCTAGCAACATTAGTATTATTTGACCAAATTCTCCTTTAATAATATGGCATAATATAATAAGGACTTTCAAACAATTAAAGTACTTAATCACAATCTCATTCTTTTGTGTAGTTACACACAAATTTATAAAGTACCTTTGGTTATAGCTACATGAGTGGACAAAATAAGCCTAATCAGAATGTATTTATTACTTTCAATAACTCAAAAGCATTATTTTCATCGTGTGAGCGCAGAACTTGAACATGAAAATTATGTGATTTCCATACAATGAACACATTTTTTTATTTGTCACAGACACCCATTGAGATCAACAGTGGCTGCATGTTGCAGTCAATGAGTGTAAATACTGAATATGTCACATAAACAGTCACTGATTCAACTTGTAGCCTATCATACCACTACTGTTTTACTTCAAGGGGAACTGGAGTTTTCCACTTTGCTACTGATTTATTTTGCTGCTTGCTGTTTTATTCATACAAGCCCATTTCCCCAAAAAGTTGGGACGCTCTGCAAAATGTGAATAAAAACTAAATGCAATTAAGTGCAAATCATTTAAACCCTATTTTTATTTGAAAATAGCACAAACACAACAAATCAAACAATGAAATAAAATTTTATTGTTTTGTAAATATATGCCCATTTTGAATTTGATGCCAACAACACGTTCCAAAAAAGTTGGGATGGAGGCACCAAAAGGCTGGTAAAGTTGTGTAATACTTAAAATAAATAAATAAAAAATAAAAACACCTGGAGGTTTATTAGCAACAGGTCAGTAACATTCCTTACTGAGCATCCCAGAGAGGCTGAGTCTTTAAGAAGTACAGATGGAGAGGGGTTCACCACAAAGACTGTGAAGGAAAATAGTGCAACAATTCAAGAATAACCTCTCTCAACATAAAATAGCAAAGAAACTTTGCTTTTCATCATCAATGGTACATAATAACATTAAAAGACTCAGAGAATCTGGAGAAATCTCTCCAGGGGACAAGGCCAAAAACCAGTATTTGCTGGCCATGATCTTGGGGCCTTCAGATGGCACTGGATTAAAAACAGACATGATTCTCTAGTGGAAATCGCTGCATGATCTCACTTCTGAAAAACACTGTCTGTGAAAAAAGTTCATTACTGCATCCACAAATGCAAGTTAAAACTCTAAAATGCAAAGAAGAAACTGTACATAAACAGGATCCAGAAATGCTGCAACCTTCTCTGGGCCTGAGCTCATTTAAAATGAACTGAGGTGAAGTGGAAAAGTGTCCTGTGGTCCGACAAATCAACATTTATAATTCTTTTTGGAAAAAATGGACTCTGTGAACTCCGGGCTAAAGACCACTCAGCTTGTTATCAGCATACAGTTAAAAAGCCAGTATTCATGATGATATAGGTGCACATGATATGGGTGACATGCACATCAGTGAGGGCATCATTAATGCTGAACGATTATATACATGTTTTGGCAACATATGCTGCCATCCAGATGCGTCTTTTTCAGGGAAGGCCTTGCTTATATCAGCAAGACAATGCCAAACCTCATTCTGCCTGTATAACAACAGCATTGCTCTGCATTAAAAGAGTCTGGGTGCTAAGCTGGCCTGCCTGCAGTCCAGACCTGTCACCACTGAAAACATATGGCACATTATGACATGAAAAATATGACAAAGGAGACCCTGAATTGATGAGCAGCTGAAATCCTATACCAAGCAAGAATGTGAAAACATTTCACTTTCAAAACTACAGCAGTGTCTCCTCAGTTCCCAAACGCTTACAGAGTGTTGTTAAAAGAAGAGGTGATGAAACACAGGGCAAACGTGCCCCCGTCCCAACTTTTTTGCAACGTGTTGTTGGCATCAAATTCAAAATGGGCACATATTTTTCAAAAAACAATACAATTTCTCAGTTTCAACATTTGATATGTTGCCTTTGTAGTGTTTTCCTTTAAAAACATGGTTTGCATGATTTGCATATCATTACATTCTATTTTCATTTACATTCTGCAAAGCGCCCCAACTTTTTTGGAAATGGGGTTGTAGTTATCTCGCGAGCGCTGTCCAGCGTACTCGGCTGAACTACTGATATTACTGATCTTGTCAGCATTTGCACTTGCTTTTGACTGTAAATGACTCAGACTTGACGTACTTCAGTGCTAAACTAATTCATAGCTGCAGTAGCTGTTATCAAGAAACCCATCAGTGGAAGTTTCCATTTAAAATCTGGGCTGAGACACAGCAATAACATGTGAGCAGCCGGAAGTACTACAGATGGTCTTTTAAAAAAAACAAACAAAAACAAAAAAAACAAAATAAGGGTTAATGATAAAAAGTGGCATTACTTTATATTATACAAATAGCACCTTGAATTTTAGTTTTTATGTTTACTTATTTTCTTATAAAAATAATTCTAAAAAATTACAGGAAGGTAAGCACAATTACAAACTATATAGAGAAAAAAAGACCTTGTACATTATGTACAGTCTACTCAGATGTCTGAAGAAACCTGGTCAAATGATATGCTCTGTTGATTTTCTTATTTCTGTTAAAATAAGTTAACACATCTTCTACAGAGATTATAAATATACAATTTGTTTGCCAATCATTTGTTTTGCTACCATTTCTATTTGTTTTTGCCAAGTTTAACATGCTTAGAAAATCAACAAAATGTGTCTTTTGACCAGGGGCGCCCATATGACTGCACACATTTAAACAAGATTTAAAAAAAATAAATGACCAAAACACTGATTGAACTTGCATTTCTGGAACACTCTTCCAGATTTTAGTAGCTGTAAGAGCTTGAAGGACATCTCACCCCTAGAAGACTCCTTCTTGGTGGGTTTGCTCTTGGGGCTGACAGCCTTCTTCTTGCTGGCCTGGATCTGGCTCTGCTCCCTCCACTTCTTCAGCTGAAAGTTGATGAATTTCCACATCATCCAGGCCTGGGTCAGGCAAATGGCTGACAGACACGTCATCCTGAGCGGAGAGAGGCCACAGACACTGAGATCATAAAAAGTAAAAGCGCTGTTTGAAACAGGGAACTTCACCTTCACGTTCAGACCGAGATGGAGAGGCTTATTTTGTGCTTCTGGGTCATCGCACTGCAATTTGAAAGTGGCTGGTTCATTTCAAAACCAGGCAGGAGACAGAGTGCTAGACAGACTTTAACTGTCCCAGGAAGCACAAAATCATTCTGAAACTTTTTTTTTTACCCCACAACACATCAAACACAACCAATATAAACATAAAAGAGTGTTTTAGGTAGGTGAGTGAAATTTCCCTTTAAGAAACAGTATGGAAAAACAATGAATATCTGCCTCTGAACACAGCTCTCTCAAACTGATGCTTCTCTCACTTTCACTCTTAACTGTAATTCTGAACCCAGTCAGGACGTAAGTCATCAAATTATATTTAGTTTATAGAAAAAAATACTAACAAAAACTTTAAATAGTGCAGTTTTAAAAGACATTAGTAAGCGAAAACATAGTACAGGATAAGATTCAGTAACAACACTGAAGACAACTACATTGTAATACATGCACACTATTGGCTCAATATTAGTGCAAGTGCAAGTTAAGTTCTTTGGCCCAATCCCATTTCAGGGGCCTTGCCCTTACCACTTAGCCCATATTCCCCTTATTCCTCCATTCTGCACGTTCATGTCTAGGGGTAGGGTATCCTGATTTTTGTTGAGATAGAGGGGTAGGGTGAAGTGTTAGGGCTACATGGCCCTCCAAACATTAGTTTTTCAGAGGCAGACTCCAAACAGAGTGTTAAGAAAAAAAAAAGAAAAACCGGCAAGATGGCTGCGCGAGCAACCAAAACTACTGATGTCTCAGTAGCTAGCTTGCTAAATTTCCTGTTCCACCTTAAATGGTGCAGCGGTTCTGACAGCTGAGGCACCAGAATGTAATTGCTGCTCCATTTAAGGTGGAAAAGGAAAATTAGCACAAGTTGCAAATAGCTGGCTTCAGTTTCATATCACAGAAGAGCCAGAGATGGGTGATAATAGATTATTGCCCCCTCTTTGAAGGCGTGTGATGCCCTAAATATAACTAAAGCCCAGCAGCAAGGTTGCTGAACTTTACCCTCCTCTGCTATCACTGCAGACTGGCAGGGTTGCCTACAGAGCACCGCTAGTAAGCTGTTAATGAAGTAATGTTCTTTTTTATTTAAGGGTTGTCCCATTTTGTCCCAACAAAGGACTTAAAAGATATTGTATGCTATGCAGTAGCATATGGAAAAATCTATAAGCACAAATTTAATACAAACATTTTTCCTGTTATTTCTCCCATCAGTCAGTGGAGATGTTTCTCCAATCCCTTAATGATTACCTAAACACCATTAGAAACATTTTCAGTCATTCAGTATTGATTATATTCTTTTCTTGCAGCTTTGTTCATTCCATCTGTGTTTTCTTATCATCATATCCTGTTGTCTTATCATAAACTTCAATGTTCTGGACATGCGGCTAGCTCCCTGTTGCACTGGGTTTACATTCTTCAGCGGCATTGGCTGTTTCTCTGATGGATCTGTAGATCAACCCTGAGATTCACTGCTGTGAAACCACAGCAACAGCAAAAGACAGTCCTTAAATAAACTGAGAGACTTGACAGCTAGGAAGGTTAGTTAGGTTTCCTGTAACATGCGCAGAGACCCAACAGGCAAATGTTTTCATCATTTCCTTTGAATATAACAGCATTCGAGACCAATGGTACACATAATTTAATTGCATTATGAAGTGTTTGACTTTTTGGATCAAAATCTTTTCATGCATGGGTGCTTCTGACTCAAAATTCTGGAAGAAGCAAATGCAAGCACTTGCTCAAGGCTGATTTATACAACTGCAGACTCTGACTGACTATCCTGGAAGTGTTGGGGCAGAATGAGACCCAAACAATACTTGACCTGAATGAGACTCAGCACAAAATCAAACTGGAGTAGTCTGAGGATCAAAAGGTGCAAAAGTATATATCAGACTTTAATGGCATCCAGTACTTTGCCTCCTCTATCTATTCTTACAAAGCAATACGAGATTTTCTTCTTTGTTGTTTTCTGTATATTCTGGTCCCCTATTGCACAAGTTCACCTTTCATGGAAGAAAGGTCTGAAAAGGAGACCTGTGCATGTTCACAGATTCGCAGGTGCAGAAGTACACTATATGGACAAAAGCACTGGGATACCTACACAGTACACCTACAGGAGCTTTTGTAACATCCCATTCTAAATCCACAGGCATTAATATGGAGCTTGTCCACCTTTGAAGCTCTAACAGCTTCAGTTCTTCTCGGAAGCTTTCTACAAGATTTTGGAGTGTGTCTGCGGGAATTTTTGCCCATTCATCCAGAAGAGAATTTGTGAGGTCAGACACTGATGTTGAATGAGAGGGCCTGGCTCACAATCTCCATTCAAGTTCATCCCAAAGCTGTTCAGTGAGGTTGTAGTCAGGGATCTGTGAGGGCCAGTCAAGTTCTTCCACACCAAACTCACCCAGCCTTTATAGACCTTGCTTTGTGCACTGGGGCACAGTCATGCTGGAACAGAAAAGGGTCCTCCCCAAACTGTTCCCACAGAGTTGGAAGCGTACAATTGTCCAAAATGTCTTGTATGCTGAAGCATTAAGACTTCTCTTCACTGGAACTAAGGGGCCCAGACCAACCCCTGATAAACAACCCCATATCATTCCCCCTCCTCCACCAAATTTTACAGTCAGCACAATGCAGTCAGGCAGGTAACATTCTCCTGGCATTCGCCAAACTTAGACTCGTCCATCAGACTGCCAGACAGAGAAGAGTGATTTGTGACTCCACAGGATGCATTTCCACTGCTCCAGAGTCCAGTTCCATGTTTAAAGTCACTGAGCTCATCAGTACGACCCACTCTACTGCCAGTGTTTGTCTATCGAGACTGTGGCTGAAACACCTGAACTCAATAATTTGGATGGCTGTCCCAACACTTTTGTCCATATAATGTATATTTCAGTGCTCACATTTTTGGCAGGAGGAAAGAAAGAGTCAGAAATTTAGATGGAAGGAAGAAAAGGAATGCTGATATTTTTGAAAAAGGCCAGAATCTCATATGCGGGTAAAGGTAGATGTGTCATGAAGAGGGGTGACTAACTGAGGTCTTAAATCTGGCTACTGTGTGCAAGTAAACATAGTTTTTGAATTTCATATCTAGATGACCAGCGGACAATCAAGTTTAATATGTGAGAAAATGCTTCAACTGCAGAATTTAACCACCAGGTGGCAGCAAACAATACAACCAAATACATTACCTGACAGTGAGCACGTTGAAGTTCCCCTCTGCCAAAGAGAAGCCCTGATTATCTGTACGGGACAGTCCGAAACCGAACGTCAGCACAGAGAGGGTGAGGGTCAGGAGTCGAGCGATGACGAAGAGGAGAGCCCACAGCGTAAACCTGACAGAGAGAGAGAACAGAGAGAGCAAGTAAGTTGGTGGGGGAGGGTGGGGGGGTGGGGGGTGGGGGGTTGGGAGAGAGAAAAGAGACAGAGAAAGAAAGGAGAGAGAGCGAGGGAGCAAGAGAGCAAGAGTGGAAAAAGAGATAGAGAGAGAGAGTAAATGAGCAAGAGAGCAAGCATCAAGAGAGTAAGAAGCGAGAAAAAAAAGTCAGAAACAGAGAGTGAATGAGAACACAGAGAGCAAGAACACAGTGTGAGAGAAGAGTGAACCCAAAGAGCAAGCAAGAACACAGAGAGAGAACACACTGAGCGAGCAAGAATCCAGAGAGCGACAGCAGCGAGAAACCACAGAGAGAGAGTGCAAGAGAGAATGCAGAGAGTGAGCGAGAACAGGGAGTGAGCGAGAACACAGAAAGCAAAAAACTGAAAGTAAAGAGAGAACAGAGAGGGTGAGAGAGAACTCAGTGAGTGAGAACACAGACGGCGAGAGAGAGAGCAAGAGAAAAGAGACAGGAGAGAGAGAGAGAGAGAGAGAGAGAGAGAGAGAGAGAGAGAGAGAGAGAGAGAGAGAGAGAACACAGAGAGGGAGAGAGAGAGCGAGCAAGAGAAGAGAGAGAAGGATAGAGAGAAAGAGAGAGGGAGACAGAGAGAGAGAACACAGGGAGATAGAGAGAGCTTTCATAGCTAACAAGGCCGTGAAACGTAATAAGCATCGTATATGCTCTCCGAACAGCAGCCCAAAATGTGAGAAGAGCAGTTTAACGTTCATCAGATCTCAATTCATCCAAACCCAATTACTCTACAGTCTTTAATAAAACTAGAGGAAAAGATCTGTGAGGCATAATGAAAACATGCACAAGCATCTTTCAGAGCATCTAAACAACTCTATAATGTTCATACACCAACATTCTGCTAAATGTAGGAGGCATATGGCTTCTGTTGTTTCAGTACATCCCAAAAAACAGAAAAAACCCAGCAAAATAAAAGGAAGTTGAAGCAGGTACACAAATTAGACACTTAATCCAGTAAACCAGTTGTTCGCAGGTCTAATCCAGAACCCAACAAACGAAAGTTTGGCTACATAAAGATCATTCCAGGCCTTCAGGACTGATAGCATTAGCTGTAGAGTGAATAGAGGAAGTGAAAAGGTGAACGTACCCTTTCTGCTTGTTCTCGTTGCTGAAGTAGAAGAGACGTGATGCATGGAAGAGAAGCTCCACCAGGTAGTGCGGAACCAGAAGAACCAGGCCCAAGCGGTGGAGACTGAGAGAGAGAGAGAGAGAGAGAGAGAGAGAGAGAGAGAGAGAGAGAGAGAGAGAGAGAGAGAGAGAGAGAGGTTGTCAGTCATTTTGGCTCACAGTGGGTGTGTGTGATTGCAGATTCTGTTGCACAAAAATCAAAACATTTATGCACACACATTGAGCAACATTAGCGACTGTTAGCACAGATGTACACTGTTAAAAATAAAAGTGCCAAAAGGGTTCTTGGAACAATGCCGTAAAAGAACCACTTTTAGTTTCTTAAAGCACCTTTCAACAGATGGGTTTTTTAAAGGGGAATTAAGAGTTCTAAATTTCAGCATAATAAAATCATTAAACTGTCATTCAGAGTGGTTTGGTGTAAAACGCTTCAGTCTAGAAAAACTCAGGCTTTGGTGATTCATATGTGATTCAGATGTGTTGTCTGTGTGTCAGTGTGAACAGCAAAAACACATTAAATCTGACATTCAATTCTGATTTGAGACGTGTTCATATGTGGTACTGAAATCCAATCCATATCTGATCTGCGTCAATGTGACTCAGACTGAACAGCCAGACTGGAATTAATGCGACGTCAGTCCAACTGCACATTCGTCATAATTTCGCCCTGCTGAGACCTCATAAACATTTGGGATGATGTTTCTGTATCAAAAAATTAGAAGAGATTTCTCCCAAACCCTCCGTGTTCAAAGTGCCGAATGAGGCCATAGGACAAAAAACAGTTTGTTTAAAGAATCTGAGGACACGAACCAAAGAAGTGACCGTGCCCTTTTTACGCTGAGCTTGAGCACATTCTGGGTGATGAACCCAGCTGTTAGTCACTGAAGCTTCATGATGGCTCTTGTGATGCTGGCAAAGGTGAAACTGAATCCTCCACTGGAGTTCGTTGGCAGTCATGATTGTTTGCCTCTGGATGAGCCACATGAAGCAATGTGAAATACTGTTAATTGCGTATGCGGGTTAGTTTAGGAGCGTCATCTGCTCAGACTAATGTCGCATAAAAGTCACATTTAAAAAATATTGTGAACAGCCAAACAAAAAAAGCGGATTTGGTGAGAAAATCAGATTTGGGCCACTTTTACCTGCTGTGTGAATGTAGCCTTATAGTCAGAACTGTTCACAGTGATGGTGATAAGAACCAGTGGCAACTTGCATAAAACACCTTATGTATTTATCTCAAGTTTAACGCTTAAGGGAAAAATTCACAGCTATAAAATTAAATTCTGCAACCATCAAAAACTGAGGTTAGGGTCTAATACTCAATTTGCATCTATGGATTTTTTTCCACTTTCCATTTAAACACCACCCCGAAGACATTTGACACAGCTCAATTAAAGCTACACTATGCAAGTTTTGGGGATTTAGAAACACAATGTGCAGAAGAACTTTTTGTAATTTAGGTTTTGCTGAGGACCCCTTTCCCAAGCAGATGAATCTTAAAAGTATCCAAGCAGAAATCAGTCTGCTCAACTGATTTCTGCTTGCTTGTTAAGTAAACTGGTTACGAATACGGCGTTTTACGATAAATGGTGGACTGGTATAAAGTCAATTGGATTACTGAACTTGGCTGCTTCTATGAAGGCCTTTTTATTCCAATTGACCTATGAATTTAATTATTAAATAATACTGCATGTAAACACAGCTGTTGTGTATGTTGTGTAGCTGAGTGTTTTTGTTAGTAACTCAAGGTTCACTTATTTAAGGCAACAAAAACAGATCTCCTTCAGTGTACTAGCACAAATTCAAATAAGCTAATACTTACAAGCATGAAATGCTGCACTGCTGTGGCTGAATAGCTATGCATAAAAGCAGAAAATCTTTCCCTCAAGGGAATTAAAGTGTGGTCAGGCTGGATGCCTGGCTTGTACCTCATCATAAAAAAACCACAAACTTGCTAATCAATTATGCAGCTCAAAGCTAAATCATTCATACTGCTCCAAGTCCTTCCCTGCAAAAGAGGAGTAAGAAAGCAAATTGAACCTCAGGAAACACTCACTTGAGGACGTAGGCACCAGTGATGTGGAAAATGTAAAGGCAAATGTAGTAAAGTTGACGAGGAATATCTTCCTGGAAGCAAATGCACAGAAAATGGCATGTAATTGCTGTCTATCACACACACTCAGTTTAATTCAGTAAATTTCCTTAAAGATGACTAACTAAGAGTTAAAAAAACATCACAAACCTACAAGGAATTTTTACTATACACAATTATGTATCACAATGTTCAGCTTTTCAGAGTAAGCAAACATTAAAAGGTGCAAATATCAACTATTTAGTACAGAACAAGAAAGGAAAATACATCAAACGAGTAAAAAGATATAATAACAGCTTAATTAAACGCAATCCTTTCAGCTACTTCATGCAGTACGTTCATATGTTCATACAGTTATTATACACAGTAATTATGCACTTTTAAATCAGTCTTTTACATGATGCAGTTGTTTGGAGTTGCAGATGTACTGACAATACCCATAATATACTCAGAAAAGCAGGATGTGATATCATTATGATACTGACAATATATCGTCATACTGCCCACCACTAATTTAGCCTGACAGTATGTTACAAAAATAAGAAGTAGTCGGTCATTTGCAGTGCTCACCTTTCGTACTTTCTGAAAATACAGTTCTGGTAGGGCGTGGAACCAGTAGGCAATCTGGCAGATGTAGAAGAACTTAACCTGAAAACTGAGACATGGAGAAAAATGTACATGACATAAGGGCTGTCATTATCAATCACATTAATCAAGTTTTTTTTTTTTAAGGTCAAACAACAAAAAGGGACTTTATTAAACTATGTACAGTATTTCCAAATACTTTATTGGAAAACCCAGGGCTATTCGATTCTAGAAACTGTGGAGTTGATTCCAAGTAATGGGGATCGACGGAGACAATTCCATAAAATTTTCCTCATTATTGGCTCCAAAACTCAAGGCATGAGCACCTGTCATGCATGCTCTATTACTGAGGAATTAAATGATAACAAGAAGCGATTAAGCTGGTGCCGAAATGTGGGTAAGACTGGTAAAACATGAGACCACAAAACTACAGAGAGGGCTCATCTGTGAACAGAAGCTGACACATTACCAGCAAATTAAAGAAGACTTGAATGTTTCTGTGCTGTTTTTGGTATTTACAGCGTTGAGTTTTCACGTTTTGTGAGTGGAAACATCTCCAGAAGGTATTTTGTACACAATTCTTGTGACACACAGCTTGAAAGAAGCAGAAAAATCTGCCCCTCATGCACGCTTGGCTGCTACCGCGCAAAAACAATGCGGCATGACCAGCAAAGCAGGACGTTTCTGGGGCTTTTGTTTGCATCACTGATGCACATATCAACATATCAACTGCGTCCCTCCAACGTATATTAGATTATCGTAAACATATTTTTAGATTATCAGTTATTTTATATTTTATTTTATTTCATGTAAACTTAGTGTTTAGTGACCCCTTTCTTTTAAACACATGGCATCAACCAATGCAATACCATGCCTAACATGTATGATTTTTACAAAAAAAATTTACATACATTTTTTTTGCAATGGCTCAACTGTAATCCAATTTCTGTTAAAAATTTTATATTTTCCTTTGTTTTCCACTTACATCCAATCTACTGATGTGCAAGTTGTGGTGAGACACAGTCAGACAGGCTGTGTCTCACCTGTTAGACAGTGACAGCAGAATATCAGAAACATCAGCATTTCAAAACAAAATGTGTTTTGAACTCTGACTTTGAACCAATTCTGTAGAATCCAGTATTAGTATGTTTCTATTTTAGCACATATAAAGACATAAAACGGACCCATTAGACTTCTACAACTTCTATAAGCTAATAATTGACCAGCAGCCTGTTTGGTCAGATTCTGAGTATGACAGCAAAAGTACAAGTTCGGGCGTCTTTGGCCAGGTGACACGTTTTAATAAAATTCTGCCTGTTCACAATTGCACATTTTATACATTTACTTTTTCCAATATGTTAAACTCAGCAAACAAAGATATTGTGCAGCAACCACTTTTACAGAGACCAGTTTTTTAAAAAAAATGTTATTGTGAAAACTGCTAATTCATCAGGAAGGCTCATAGTAACCTATGTAAGTCACCATGACAGACCTGGACGACATTAAGCTTCAGTATCACATGACGAATACAATGATTATACTAACCTACCTAGTGTTTTCACGTTTCACTTCTGGTGGTTATCAGTGGCTTGGAACTAGTCACATATTTTGACAGGATGTGGAAAAAGGAAGTGACTTGCAGAAAAACTGTCTGCAAGGTGAATTTGGTCTTTCAGAGACTGCGACGCACTTCACTTGAACTCTGCGGCAGATCAAATTAATTACTTTCTATCAGCAAGTTCATTCATTTCCCTCAGTTATTCATTTTAAGGGAAAACTTAAATTGTACTTAGAGCAGGCAGAAAAACTGAGCTGGCAAATCTCAGAAGAAGACAGTAAATATTCTAACAGCAGCCTCGAGAAAGAGACAAAGAGTATCCCTGAGGAATACAACACCACAGCCTTTACACTGTAATAGCGAAATTAAGGGGAGGGAATGTATGACTTGACTTAAAATGCTCAAATCATGCACAACCAAATTTTTCATTTTTTAAATAAAGGAATCTATTTAATATGCAAACACTTAAATCCACACAGTCCATGTAAGCTGCAAGAAAGTAAGCCTGTTTTGAATTCACTGTTTTTGTGATGTCATGAAAACAAAGACATTTGCATATAGCCACCTACTCAGCCAATAGCAGTTTAGCTCCACCCACAGTGAAATCACATGGAGTGTTTTAGCCTGGACTGTGACACAATACAACAAAAACAGCCAGTTTAATTCTAAAGTATAAAGAGAGGTTGGAAAAAGGCCACATAATTACCTACAAGACAAATATGGGATAATGTAGGTTAAAACTTCCCAAAGAATAAGCAATAAGTGGGAAGTTTGCACACTTATTAATAATAAAAAAAATAAAAATAATAATAATAATAATAATAATAATACAATAAAACACACAAATAATTATATAAGAAAGTATATAACACCATCTATGGAGAACACACTGTACATTTTAACATGCAAACGTACTGTTTATTTACTGAATTTTACATATTAGGAGAACCATAAAATGTGGCTTGTGCAGATTTTATGGCTCATTTTATACTGAAATTTTTTCTTCGCTATGTTAAATGTAGCAAGTACATAAAAATTGTTAACTAAAATTAGTAGAAATGTCATATTTGTTCCCTATAGAGGATGTGTTAACCTATTCAGAAAATCAACAAATTAATCATTTAACCAAAGGCTTTTAACTTTGCACAGAAACAATTTGCATGATATTTTTTCCATCTCTGAAAGGCTCTGCATGGTTTGTTACTCTTTCTATCTTCAGAGTTTGGACTTCCTTTAAAACTCTGATTACAGAATTAGTTAAGAAAACAATCAGTATCTTACTCGATGGGTAAAACAATCGATAGCGACAGCCCTGCAAATTACAAGTGCGTAAGTGTGTGTTTGTCAAAGTGCGCAGCGGAGCTTTAGCTTTTCCTGTTTTATTATCAGCTGACAGCAAAATCTGCTATCAGCTCTACTACAGCTCAGACAAAGCTTCAAAGCCACTAAGAAGAGTGAGAGCACTTACGCCATGTGGGTGTGAGGGTAGCCTTCCCACAGAAATGTGGGATTCGTCACAAACTCCTCCTTTCAGAGACAAAAATTAAAAAGTAAGAGAGAGAATGAGAGAGAGTCATTCTACATACACATGCCAAAGACTCCCCTCAATCACGTAACAGTGGTTCTTACCGCAGTGAGGATGCTGCAGCCCCAAATGAAAGAGAACAAGTAGAACGCTGCCAGCTGTCCAGATTCATTAAACTTGCTGTGTTTTGTTTTAGACAAATGCAGGCGCCGATTGATTTTCTGCAGGGGGAGGAGAACAAGGTTAGCACCAAATTTTACAGAAAATATAAAGAATATAAAAAAGCAAGAATAAATATAAGCAATGCATAAAAGAAGACAGCTGAGTTCTGTGTATATTTAGCCTCAGCACTCTTCATCTTCATCAAAGTATCTTCCTTACACTCTCAGAAAACAAGGTACGAAACTGTCACTGGGGTGGAACCCTCAAGGGTACATCTCAGTATCTTTAGTCAGGGAGCATAATTGAACCATAATCCACTGAAATAATACTTTGAGTTGTACTGATTCCACACACCCTGTCTCGTCTCCAGGCTTTTTATTTTATTGTTGTTTTAAAGCATTAAGTTAAGGTACAAATTTGTACTTTTCACCTGGGGAACTTATACAAGGTTCACAATTGGACCTTAAAACCACTGTTGGAAACATTTACATCGTTTGTACCTTGAGGAACGAGAAATGAACCCGCACAGAACCTTTATTTCTAACTGTATTATGATGAGCAGTTTGCTTTTCCAAAACTGTCTTTTTCACACTAAAACTCTTTTGTTCCAAATGTCAAATGTCAACAGTGAGATAAATATTCACACATTTTATATTATTTTTATCTTAAGAAACCAGATTAGGCTTTTATATGTTACGTTTTGGCAAACCAGCAAAGAAAACAAGTTTATTTGTATTAAAAACAAAATGAAAAGCTAGGCGTGCCCAAATGTTTTACAAAAAATGGATACTACTGAACATACATTACTTTGCAGTGCATGTGCAAATAAAAACAAAAATATTTAACTGTAACTAAGAAATAACCATTGAGCAAAAATAAACTGTGCAAATTATAGATTACATTAGACGTCTATATTGTGAAAAACAATATTTCTCAAATTGCTACAATTTCAAAACGTATCGTTCACTCCCCAAGCTATACAGTCCATATATGGGACCTAAGTTGCTTGAATTTACTGTTTCCATGATGTAACATTTACAGACATCCACCTGTTCAGCCGACAGTAGTTTAGCTCTGCCTATTCACACTGATGTTATACAGAGTGTTTTTAGCCTGGAATGTTTTGGGACGTGGCACAATACTGGGCAGCCAATCAGAATGGAGCTCATTTACACACATCAGTCTTAAACACACAGTAGCAATAGCAGCCTGTGTAGTTCTAAGGAATAAAGATAAGTTGGAAAATGGTCATGTAAAAATGAGCAGGTAAATAAAACCGCAATGATATTATAAGTGGGCCCATGGGGGAAAAAAATTAATTAAAAAAATTAAAAATTAATTAATTCAAGTTGACAGTTTAGGCCAGGGGTCGGCAACCCAAATGTTAAGAAGAGCTATTCTGTCCAGTCCTTTGTCCACCTTGGGAGCCACAACATTTAAAGTCCGTTTTATTGACGACTTCACCATCTTGGCTGTAAATGTGTCTCAGTATGTGCTAATGTCCTAGTGTAGATTAAAAAATATAATATAAACGAAAACACAAACTTAATGTACTTTGCTCTGTTTTAAGCTTTACCTCTGCTATAGCCGCATCTCTGGCAGGAAACATTTCCTCAAAAGTAAAATAATTTCTCTCAACGTTCAACTTTTTATGAGGCTGAAGTCGCTTTTCATTCGCCAGCTTCTTGTTTCAATTTTCCCGTTTCACCTTAAATGTTGCCAGAATGAATCTGCTGACAAGAATCTGGTGAACGAGGAGCCGACTTCAGCATCGCGACTTTTTAGTGTTTGACAGTTTCTCGTTGCAGATTAAACGCATCAGGAAACCAGCCGGAGTGCTTATAAATGCAAATAAGTCCTTTCGTCTCCAAATTATCGATGTTCGTCTTAAATCTTTCTCTTTGTCTTTTCGTTAGCTACTAGCTAGATGAGACTGTTCTCTGCATTGCTATGGTAATCAGCAGTCTGTACATCAACCTACAGGGTTAAAGGTCTGTAAATTAGCAGTTATACATTAACTCCAGCGTTTAAGACCATTTAATGTTAAAACTGTGTTAGAATGATCAGCAGAGCTTTATTTTACTGCAAATGAGGATTATTTTATTTTTATCTAATAATCTAATTCTGCTGTGGAGCTGCAACAGGGCAGTAAAGAGCTGCATGTTGCCGACCCCTGGTTTAGGCAGTGTATGTTTCCTGAAGACTGGCCTTTTTGTTATAGGCTAAATGTGATGCAATTTAAGCTAATTCAAACAGCATCAGTCCAAGTGCCAAGCAAGATGGAACAGGAGAGATTAGAGATTTAATTTTACCAGTTTAATAGTTAAATCTGACAGACAGAGGAAAGCTGAACGTGGTCTATAATTAAACCGATGGCTATCTGATCATTTTGCACTGGATCTACAAAGCTAATGTAGTTAGCTAATAGGTAAAGGAGGCTTATGGCAATCCAGACAAGGATCCCAGACATCACACGCTTGCTTCAGACCTCATCAAGCTGTTAAATAATCTCAATTAGTCTTGTTTTTGTGGTTTCTGACACTGCACGATACACTTTTGTCTGTAAACATGTAGAAACATATGTTTCCATCGCTAAAAACACTAGTAGCAGTAAACATGTTGTCATATTGAACTGAACTTTGGTCCACGTTTACAGATAACAGCGTGTCATACAGAGTCAGAAACCACATAAACAAGTCTATTAGAGATGACTGAACAACAACACAGATTGCAAGTGTGTGATAATTTAGTCATTTGATGCCAACTAGTGAGGTTTAAGCTTGCATCACTTGTTACTGCTTCACTTTACGTTACTGTTAGTGCTTTTTAATACTGTTTGACCTAAAAAAAAAGGAAATATAATACCATTTTCATTACATAGTGATGCACAAAGACTCTAATATGGCACGTATTAAAGTCAATTTTATAAACAGAGGTCTTTTTCTGATTACATGGCTGCTGTTGGCTAGGTATTTTTGGTTAGCTGACTATTCTGAATTATTTTAATATTCTGAGTGACTCTTTTCATCCTAGTCTTCAGGCGCTGTCTTACAATTTAATACCTCAAATCAAAAAAAAAAAAATACAGCTTCAAGTATCTTGGTTTCCTTAAGAATCCACAAGAACCCTGTCAAATGTAAAACTAAAGAAGCACACCAAACCCCTTAATGATCAACAGTATTTACATACATATATCAACTACATTTACATTTTCTGCTGAGCTATCGCTTAAACCACATAGAAAGATATTTTAGTGCAGCAATGCAAGACTGATAAAAAAGATAACAGCAAATAGAGATCACCTAGTAATATAGACACATATAGAGTGAGTGAGTACAATGCTGGGTCACAGTATTGTGTCTGTTTGTTACCGCTCACAGCATCCATTGTGAGTAAAATTATAATAAAAATTATAAGATTAAGAGAGTGATCTCACCCTACCCTACCCTTCTAGTAATATCTATACTGCTTATGACACTTCTGGGAAATCAGATTTCAGTCATATCAAGAAAGACACTGACAGGGACAGTGGATGGTTCTAGGGAGGGGGTGATCTTGAATTTCTGGACTACTAACAACAAATGATCGTTTATACACTATCTGCTGTATTTAGCTGCTGTAACTCCAACATCCGACTGATAACATTAATTACATTCTCCCACTTATCATCCCTGTGCACCCCTCGTCCAAGTATGCCTGCAGATCTCATAATGTTTCTCATGCATTCAAATATACAAAGAGCACAAACCATCACTTACGTCAAGTATGTATTCTTGGATCAGGGCATGAAGGATTATGGCAATAAGCAGATAGAAGAAGACAGTGGCGATGTCCTTGGGACCATACTGATAAAAGTTCACCGGTTCTGGCTTGTCTTCTGTATAAATATGAACATAATTCATTCAGAGTTATATAACATGAGTTGCAAAAAATAGACAATTTAAAAGTGCTGAAATCTTTCAGACATATTGCTGAAATGGCAGGCCAGATGTGCTGCAAGGCTCACCTGATGTCTGAGTGACGTTGTACTGGACTGTGATGAACATAATGGCGAACTTTGCAGTAACCTGAAATTATGAAGACAAACAAACACCACTTATACAATCAATGAAGAAATACAGTCATCAAGATAATAGTAATTACAATTTGTAATAACAGTAAAAGAAGCTAACTTTCAGTAACAATAACAGTAATTATATTTGAGTAACTCAAAAAGTCTTTTTTGTAATTTGTGATTTATAGTTAGTTTGTTAATTACCAGCCTTTAGTAGTTTAGTAACTAGAAGAACATCCTAAAATCGCTGCTACTGGAGCAAAACCTCGTATCTCCATTTTTGCCATTTTACAGTTTTTGACATAATTTGAAAATGCCTGTTGCCCTTTACATTGCATGTAAATTTCATGAAGAATGGACCAAAAGAAATGACCCAAAATGACTTGGAAAAAAATCTGGTTCCACTGACTTACATGAAAAGTAAAGTATGTTTTTTCCTTTTCCTCTAAAGTTATCATTTTGGAGATATGAGGTTTTCTTCTGATGAGAGTGAGATATATATCACACACACACACACACACACACACACACACACACAGACATACATACATACATACACATACATACACACACACACACACACACACACACACATATACATATATATATATATATATATATATATATATATATATATATATGTACATACATATATATATATATATGTATGTACAGATAGATAGATAGATAGATAGATAAAATGCACAAATATATGCATGTTGCATTATAAGTATTACTACAGTGTAGTTATAAAGTATATATATAAACACAAGCAGTAATTATATATACACACACATCTACAATAAGTTAAAGTAATAGTTTTGTAAAATCTAAAATTTACACAAAACATGTTTGTTATCGGTATTTTCCTTCTTTGGTTTCACACTGGAGCTACGAGGCTAATGCTGCTAAAATGTAATGTAAGCCTATGTCACCACAAAGAATTCTACTAGATTAGCCTTGTAGCTCCAGTGCAAAGACGGAAACTCCCAACAGCAAACATACCTTGGCTGCCACACTGTGTTTGGGTGAAGGGAAATTATGTAAATTTGATTTTTCACCGAACTTCTCCTTTAAAAGTGCATATGCCCAACTGACATAACAGGGAAGCAAAGCTGGATTCATACATCATCTTCAGAGGCTTAAACAATTTGACTAATTTGATTCATCTGACATATAAAATGGCCTCTGCCTCTAAAACTCGACTGTAGTGTTTTCTTCCAGAGATTTCTGTAATGCTGCAGAAGCTCAACTGTGAAGTTCATCCTCACTTTAAATTACACACATAAAAAGGTGGTTCTTCAAGGGACACTTTCTATTTATAACCATGAGTTCTATGTGGAACCATCTGGATGAATAAATGTTTCATGGTGAAATGGCTTTTCAGATTAATGGAGAATGTGTAGTATATGGTTCTAGATAGATTTTGTAATGCTTCTGTATGGATCCAAAAAGGAATCTGTTGTTGCAAGCTTGACATTGTAGCATAGAAGAACCCTTTTTTGTGTCATGAAGAGTCATTTTTAAAAAGACTCCATATAGAACCATATACAGCACATTCTCCAGCAACATGAAGAACCATGCAACCGGTTCTATACAGAACTCATGTTTATAAATAGAACAATTCCCGTTACTAAAACACCCTTGAAGAACCATCTTTTTAAGCGTTTATTTCAAAGCTACATAACCTCTCACATGGCTTTCTATTCGAATTCTCCAGTTCCACCTTAAACGGTGCAGCAGCTGCTGCACTATTTAAGGTGGAACGTAAAAATTTGAACAAGAAGCTGGAGATTAAGTAGTTCGCTGATTTCAGCTGCGGTAACTGCATTTATTAGACCACAGCGTTTTAATAAATAATAAATACATAATAATAACAGTATCGTGTCTCCTCTGGTCTTAGCCTCCTAGCCCTGACTGATCTGAAATCCAATATTGTAAACATAAAGCAGGAAAACACAGCTGTACTGACTCTGTAAAGCCTTTAAATTGCCTATCTACATGCCTGAGAGGGGCATCCGTGGCCTGGAGGTCTTTAGGGGTTTAAGAGGAGACATTAAGTGCTTATTTAAAAGGTTTAACTTGATTAAATCCTACCTCAAACATAAGCCCGAGAAGGATGATCATGGCCACACACGAAACCATATCGGCGTGATTCTGGATCACAAACTCGTGGCTCAAAACCGGTGGACTTTTATTCTTCTTTCTGAAACCCATACTGGCGGTAAGAGTGCGCTTTTACCAGATATGAATGCCCTGGTCAGAAAGGATAAAGAAAACAGAAGAAACAGAGCCGTATGTGTCTAAGTTTGGACACTTTCAGCTCGTACAGCTGCTGCTCCCAAAGCTAAAGCTACACCCGCTGCCTGCCGGAAAGCGATCTGTATCTGGCAAATCAACGGCACTCAGACATTACAAATTAAAAGTCTTTTCGCGTACCAAAAATACCACTTCTCAGTGAAGCATATCCTTTAAAGGCAAACTCCACCAATTTTTCAACATTTCCGCATAATTAAATTGTTTACGTCAACAAAGTCATTCAGAGTGGTTCGCTCTGTTCTAGAAAAGCTCAGAGTCAGAGTCAGAATTGTTCATAGTAGTGGTGATAGGAACCAGACGTCCACGTCTAAAACCTTCTTCACAGAACATTATTACATGAAATGGTTATGAAAATGTATGAATAAATTTGAGTCTAACACATATTTTAATAAATTTATTTAAATCAATTTAACATGGAAGATAAAAAAGAGTGTTCAAGGGAAAACAGTCCCCAAATAAAGTTTTATTGTTTTTTTTTACAAACTGACCATTCTTTTAACATCATCAGCATTACATATATTAACTCAAAAGACGGCTGTAGTGGTTTTGGATAGTAAATAAAATGGCTATATTTGTGTTGTAGACATCAAGACCCCTGGTTCCTATCACCAACACTATAAAGAAATCTGAGTCTGTAGGTTTTTCTGTAATGAACTATTTCAAATCAAACAAGTTTGAATGGCTTTATTTATATCTCAATCACTGACTTATACAGAACTTTTGAAAAATCAGTGGAATTCCCCTTTAAAATGTTTACTCTTCAGTAATGCTAAAATGCTTAATCTTTTAAAATACAATATTACATTTCACTCAGGAACTCTATTAAGAAAGTGCAAAAGATAAACGTTTTTTAATTCACATTGATATGTTTGGTCAGTCAGTAACACCATATAGCATCTGACATTTTAACCACTTTTTATTAATAAGGAATATTAATGCGCGTAAAAACATTTCTGAATTATACTGAAATGAATTACTCTGAAATATTTAGTGTGAAGAATTACATTATCTTAGTACTAAGAAGCCTAGGCAAGTGGCAAGTCAGTTGCAGTCAGGCTTTACAAAATAAAAGTCTCAATGCAATTGACCTTTTAATTTAATTAAACCTTGCAAAGGGTTTATGAATGCTCTGATGAGTTAAGTCATTTGTTTTGGAGTAGGTAAAACACTAAAATATGCAGATCAGGAGAAATCTCATAGCATTCTTGACAGCTGTGCAGAGCCCAGCTGGTGACCCCCTTATGAATGAAACTAATGCGCCCATGCTGTATTAACGCATGGGAACGAGGTCCTAATGTGTGTCCACAACTTGGTAAGGCGTGGGAACGAGATAATGCCTTATTAAGCTGTGGTCAAGGCTTAATTATCTCATTCCCACGCTTTACTAAGTAATGGCCATGCATTAGAATATCGTTCCCATGCCTTACTAAGTCGTGGTCTTGCATTATTTTTATTTATACAGGATGTCACCAGCACAACTAAGGCATTAAAAAAAGAAAAGGTTTATTTAGAATAAATAAATAATTAGTTACTCATCAGCATATTCCCAAACATTTAAGTGAGTGTGTTAGAGCAAGGAATGACTCCAGAACCTGCAGATTTTTTAAGGAAACACTGAGATTAGAAAGACCCAGCTTAAGCCAAAGTCTAGACAAAATGAGTTTTTTTAAGCTAAAACAACTTTGCATTTTGTCCGAAAGCAGAACTTACCCACATCCCCCAAACTGGCTCTTAGTGTATTCGGGATCTATGGCTCTTATTTTGATAGGTGTCCCTCGATTCAACCGGAAGTTGACTGTTAGACGTTGTTAATGAAATTCACGTTGTGAAAACGGCCTCTCTCTCCTTTGGGCAGGTTCTGTGTGTTTTCTTTGCTTTTCTTAAACAAAACTATGTTATTTTATTGTATTCAGTAATGTTTTTACTGTTCCGGCTTTTAATTCTACACATTGACACAATAACTGTGAATAAATAAGCTTGTTAATGATCTATTCAGGGCTTGTTAGCCGGTTAATGTAGCTTAACGCTAACTAACATTCCAGCTTAACTTCTCTGACTTAAGTTTCTGAGTTTCACTATAGCCACAAAATTTAGATTATTATTGTAAGATAAAACCTTTTAAAGGCATTTCATACTCAGTACTGTTTTTAGAAACACGGCTTTGGTCTCGTGTAAAGACGCAGTGCTGCATGAAGATTCTGCACAGGTTCATTTCATTTTGCATCAGCCTTTATTTGGTGTCATTAGACTTTACTGCTTCCACAAAATCCACAATAAATGACATTTTTGTATTTCTATACAGCCCCTAAAGTGATATGGTGATTATTTTTAATAAGGTGTGGCCACAAAGTGTTATTTCGAGGCCATTCCTTAAAAATAATCACCATGTCACCTTAGGGGCTCTGTATAGTTTACGTGACGTGACGTGACACGTGTAAGATAAATTTACATACTCTTGTTGGTGTGTAGCCAAACTATAGAAGGAGCTGTTCATGCAGAAATTTAAAGTTATTTATGGTTTTTTTGGAAGCAGCGTTCCAAACATAATGTGTAAAAAAAATTAATAAATTTGCACAAGAAAGAGACAGTATAGGTAAAGGGAAAGAAATGTAATTGTGTAACTTTAATTTCAGTGAAACTGTATAACTTTCTGTTTTTTAACAAGGGAATTCATACCTGACATCATGTACCATCCAGTATTATCATTTTCTTTATTATTTTGGGGTATTTGATCCCATTTTGGAAAGTGGCAAGAGAAGTACAAATTGGCTTTACAAAGTTAAAGTCTTTATGTATGAAAAGGTCACTTTGACAACAAATTTAGATTGCTAACGTGTCACAAAGCCCTTTAAGGCATTGTATGAGTATATTTAAGCTGAAAATTTAGTCTGATATCGCAGCAGGTTTTGGTCTTGCTACATTTTGTCTTCTAGAAATCAGCTTACTGTTGCAGTGTTCTTTTTGGAGGTACACGCTCAGTATGTGATAGGGCTGTGTTATCCATCTCTAGTGTTATAGTCCACCTGCATGGCACAGTATGGTGATTTCTTTGCTTATAAGATAATCCTTTATTAGTCCCACAACAAGGAAATTCTCAGTGTCACAGCAGCAAAGGGATAGCAAGGCACTCAAGAAAAGAAAAGAGTCACGTATTAGCCTATGATCGAGTCATATTAGCTCATGACTGAGTCCTTCTGGAACTAAATTGAGCGTGTTGGTGCAGAAGAACATGAAACGGTGTAATGCAGGTAGACTAAAGCAGTGTTTCTCAATCCAGTCTTTGGGGCCCACCGGACAGTTCACATTGTTCTGTTCCAGCTCTCAACACACCTAAACCAAGCCTCTGTAGGGGGATTCTATTAGTTTTTCAAAATGTCTGCATAATTCTGTGGTTGAGTTGTAAACAAACGTCATTCAGAGTGTTTTGATGTGAAATGGTTCATTACCAACGTGGATTTTCTAGTAGTGGTGAAAGGAACCAGAGGTCTCAATGTCAACAACTCAAATTTAGCCATTTTAATTATTATTCAAAAACACCAGTGAAACCACACATGTCCTCCTGAGTTTTTAGGTTTAATGTTGATACTAGTAAAATCCCAACTAATAAGGTGGGGCACTATTACAACACCCTGCATATATCTCTCCACCTCGCATGTATTTTAAAAATATGTTTTAGGCCTAAAGCTTAGTGCAGAACTATTGTAAAAGAACGTATGAGGCAGCATGTTTGTAACTATTTCACATAATAACCTTTCTGTGAAGTAGCTTTTAAAGGCATTAAACTACTCAGACGTCTTGTTCCAATCATTAAATTGCAGTGATTGAATAATGCAGATTTTAATCCCCCTCAAAAAACACTGAATACCTGGTAACTGGGATCTAGATTGGAGCACAAACTTGGGCTGGGTGGAGATACACCAGACTGATGCATTATAGGTGTGAGAAACTGTGCTAAAATTTGCTCTATTTCATCAGAAATGGCAGGAGCAGACATGGACCCTGAAGTGGCACTAGGATTATTTGAAGAAGGGGCAACCTTGGTTCTGCTTGGTGTGCCTGAAGGAACTGAGCTGGGCATCGACTACAAGAGCTGGCAGGTTGGTCCCCGTTTCCGTGGGGTCAAAATGATCCCCCCGGGGATTCACTTTCTGTATTACAGCTCTGTGAACAGTAAAAGCAGTGGTGGGGAGGTCGGCCCCAGAAGAGGCCTCTTCCTCTGCCTGAAGCCCCGGGAGCTAATTCTAGCCCACTGGGACAAAAAAGAGGAGGATCTGGACTTTTCTGCCTCTGAAAATCTCGAAGAGGTTGCTCGAGTGAAAGCAGGGCTTCGTGAGCTGGACTCGCACCTGGGACCATACCCTTATGAAACGCTGAGGAAGTGGGTGTCTCTGACGGATAAACTTAACCAGGAGGTGGCTGCCGCCCTACAGCCGCTCAGCGGGCGAGTATGTGCCTTCAGCGACGTCGTTCCTGAGCTCCAGCTGACGCACACTAAAGACCGGGCAGAGCAGAACCTGCCACGCAACGACACACAGTGCCAGTCCATGAAAGAGGGGCTGGACAGGCTCCCCCGGATGAAGCAGAGGGAAGGGACTGAGCTCCGTTTCTCACAGATCCCCAAACAGACGTATCCTCCAGGGGCCACACCGGCTCAGATCACTCAGTGCAGCATGGATCTCAGCTATGCCCTCAGCTGCCTCCTGGAGAACCATCACAAGGAGCACCCACTCAACGTTCTAGGTAGGAATGGTTGTTCTGACCATTTTTACTACTCAGATGTCTGCATTTCGCTGCTGTTGGAACAAAACCTTGTATCTCCATTTTTCAGTGTTTGACAATACCTGTTTTTCAAAAAGTTCTTGAAAATACCTGTTGCACATTTTCTGTAAATTTCATGATAAACGGACCTAAAGAAATGACCCAATATAAATGACCTTTGGAATAAAGTCTGGTTTCATTGACGTACATTAAAAGTAAAGTATGTTTTTCCCTCTCTTGTGAGGTTACCATTTTGGAGCGATTTGTGAAGGAACAGAGTTCAAACATCCTAGTGAGAAAACATTTTACATTGTTATTAATAGGGCTGCAACTAATGCTTATTATTTATTAGTCTGCTGACTATTATTTGTAGAAAGAGATTTCTTCTATTATGGTGCATCTATGGTGCCGGTTAAATGATGTTTTGTTGATTTGTGTGTAAATAACTGAACACATCCTATACAGAGAACACAGTACTGCACATTTTGATGCACAATTATTGTTTTATATTTTGTTTTTTTTTCAGTAGATTAAAATCAGCAAAATTTGCAGAAAATAGAATTTGCAGAAAATTTGAGAAAAACACCACATGTAACTCTGTTTTCTGTAGAGGATGCGTTAATGTATTTTCATTTAGAAAACAAAACATATAATTCGACCAGGTGTGTTCAAATGTGTGCTTACAACTGTATATCTTATGAACTCTATCAAGCGTCATAGGTTGGTTGTTTTTAATTGGACAACGCCTCAATATTTTCCATATTTGAGGACTTTGTCGTCTAATCACTGCAGCCCTCCAAAACGTGAAAAAAACTTTGTGTGCATATAGCGTAAAACGTGATTTTGATTGTTTGATTGATTGAGTGATTTGTTTGTGTTTAATATGTGTGTGATTGAACACCATACTAGTTGACCCAGACAACTTGGAGCTGCACAGTTTTATGCTGTACAAATTTGTCATGTTTTTGTTTCTTCTTACAACTCCATATAGCTGTCCATTTCCCTTAATGTGAGACACCATACCACATGTTTGTGTTCCACAAATTACATATACCCTGTTTGAATAGCTAATGAAGAAAATTAATACTGAGTGCGAGTGTCTGCAGGGCTCAATTTGAGGGCGGGGGGCACAAGGGATTGTCGTCCCCTCTGTCAAATCAAAATGACAAAAATCATCCTCTTTGTATAGCTGCCATCCTTGATACACAAATTTTTTTAATTTAACGTTTCACTGTGCCCTGAAATAAATCCATTTAAATTGCCCACCCCTAATTTGATCCACGGCCCCCTTTGATTTTGAGTTCTGTGTGAATCTTTGCATGTCATTCTCAAACAAGTGTGGGATTACTATAGCGTTTATAATAAGTATTCTTATATGTCTGTCTGTTAGGTGAGCTGCAGTTTGCCTTTGTGTGCTTTCTCATTGGAAATGTATATGAAGCCTTTGAGCACTGGAAGAGCCTGCTGGCTCTGCTGTGTAAGAGCGAGGAGGCCATGAAAGAACGGAAGGATCTGTACCTGGGGCTCATCACTGTGCTTTACCACCAGCTGGGAGAGATCCCGCCAGACTTCTTCGTGGACATTGTGTCCCAAAACAACTTCCTCACCTCTACTTTGCAGGTAAAGGCTTTGGCTTTGAGTGAAAGGTTGCCTTTGGCTGAAATAGCTATTAAGTAGGTAGTACAGGAAGACATGTAGAGATTTGGTTAATTCTCTTTATGGCTTATGCCTTTAAGACTTATGTACATAAATGTTTTCTGTCGTGATTGGCTGCCCTGTATTGTGCCACATTCAAAAACCAGTCCGGGCTGAAACACTCCTTATAACTTGAATAAACCGCTGTAGGCTGAATAGGTGTAGATGTGTAAATATGTTGGCTTTCATGACAGAAACAGTAAATTTAAAGCGAACTGTTTTCATGTATGGACTAGGGAGTTAATGGTACGTTTAGAAACATGAACACTGTTTGCAAACTACATTAAATTATTTTATTTAAAAAAGCAAGGAAATGTGATTTTTATGTTATATGGGCCTTTTAAACAAGTACACTCTAATGCATCATAATGGTGATATAATAAACACCATCATACAGTACAATTGAAGGGGACGATATGGCAACATAAAAGACAAAACTGCTGTGATTATAGCATCTCTGTGACTTAGGTAAAGTGAAACAGTTCAGTTAGTAAATTATTTTAATATGAAAATAGATGAATTATTTGTGAAATGTTGCAGCCCTGTTTTATTTCTTTATTCCAACTTTATTACTTTGTTTCAGGATTTTTTCCAGTTTGCCGGTGGGCCTGGTGTTGATAAAGCTCTCCGCAAAAGAGCAGAGAAATTTAAAGTGCACCTGACCAAGAAGTTCCGCTGGGATTTCGATGCGGACCTGGACGACTGTGCTCCGGTGGTGGTGGAGCTTCCAGAAGGAGTCACACTGGACTGATGGTGAATGCTACCACTACAGGTGCAATTTTCACACGGGGGGAAAATGTACCAGGATGGCCTGAGCTGTGCAGTGCAGCCACAGCAGAGCGCTACGATTCCTGTTAAAGCACTTGTCTGTGTTGATGGTGAAATGGCCCATTGGTACGATGAATCACGGGCAGGTTCCAGCATTGCCTGTACACATTTATGTTCCACGGAGGAAAAGAGACTCTGAATTCTACGTCTTCTGTCATTTTCAAATGAATATTATTTACTTCTCTGTAGAGAGAGCCTCATACGTGATGGATGATTTGTGCTCAGGCAATTTCTGCCTCTAAAGCACTATTTGGGCAGGATTAGTTTTACATGGGGAGACGTGAAGTTAACTTTTTACCTACTGAAAATGACTCATAGTAATAACCTCTGGTTATATTTTATGGTTATATTTATATTTATTCCACACTATACAAAAACCATAGAAGTAACCCAAGGTTATATTAATCCTGTGCTATACAATGACCCAGTTATAATAATCCAGTGCTAAAAAATGACTCATAGAAATTAGCCCAGGTTATATTAATACCACATGAATTGCTGGTAAATATTCCATCATATCCTGTGGTAAAGGCTGATGTGTACTGTACTCCCTCACATGTACTTGAACTCTGATCATTAAAACATGCAAAGTGAGAGAAAAAAAAGTCTTTTTCAGTGCTGCTCACGGTCTACAAATTCCCTAACTAACGTCAACACTAATGAGTGTGGTAAACAAAACTATGATTAAATTAAATGTGTGGACACATTTTCTGCTTGTGAGCTTTGTGAGTATTGCGTATGGAGCAACGGCAGTGTGTAAATCGAGTAGCCACTCCCATCTCTGTAATTTATACCAATATTTCTTACCCTGTGCATATCAGTCTTAAACATAACAGGCATCCTGTGGTTTAAATTACACCTCCTTATGTAAATCTAGTCCTGTCCAAAAAGTAATTAATTCACACTGTCTGATTTCAGAGACAGAAGATGGTGTTGGATATATGCTGTTAAATTAATGTAACATCTTTTGGATCATTCCTGTTTTAATAAAGTTCATTTTGCATTAACTTTGTTGCCTGTGAATGTCCAAAATGTTTTGAACACTGTTTGGCCACAAGAGGGCAGAGCAGTTCTATTGTTGCAAATTAGTGCTTCACTCTGAGAATCTCCTAAAATTACAGACAGCTCTGGAGTTTAGCTCAGTTTGGTGACTTATCTGCTCAAACAAATTACATCACCAACTAAACTGATGACATTTGATCACGTATGTTGCAACATCCCCTGGGACAGTATTCCCACAGTTAGTCACTACTGGTTCAGCAATTTTGACAGTGTGATGTGCAGATAAAAACATACGTGAGAATGAGGACAGTAGCGTTCTTGTAATATGTGATTAAGCCTTATTTGACATAACTAGTGATGGCGGCCACCAAGCAAGATTTTCTGCAGTTTTAAACTAGTTATGTTACAAGAGGTCTCAGTGGTCAGGTTTGGCCAGTGTAGCCTCGCAGGCTGAAATTGATACTGCACGGTAACAGTTCTGTTATACTATTATTACTGTGGCTACTGGCCACTTTATTAGAAGCCCCATTGTAGCTGCTCCTTGCTTGTGTATAATTAGCGACTGTATGTGTGTGGGCCATGCACAATTTGTGTTAATGGCTTATCCAGGACCTTATGGGCCCCAGTGCAAAAAAATTAAACCTGCTTGAGGGGAATTCCACCAATTTTTCAAAATTTCATTAAGATGTCTATAAAGTCATTCAGAGTGGTTTGATGTAAAGTGCTCCATTGTAGAAAAACTTGTGTCGTAGTAAATGATTCAAAGTGGTAGTAATGGGAACCATATGTCTGAAGAGTTTAGTCCCTGCTAAAAGAGGCATTAACACAGAAATTGGTGAGGTATGTTGGTAAGAAATTGTATCTTTCTGAGTTGTGGCTGTACAATTGTGTCAGTTTCTAAGATCTTTATTGGGGCCCACTCTTGTCTGGATATTTTTGGGTGGTGGACCTCTCAACCTGGCAGTGTAAGTTAGGTGTTACTAATAAAGTGGCAAGTGAGTGAAAGTACAAGGCATGTGTTCCTAATAAAGTGGTCAGATCTTTATTAGGGCCCTGATAAAGATTTTAGGGGGACACTCTTGTCTGGATGTTTTTGGGTGATTGACCACTCTCAACCTAGCAGTGTAAGGTAGGTGTTTCTAATAAAGTGGCCAATGAGTGGACGAACAAGGTAGATGTTTCCAATAAAGTGGCCAGTGAGCTTACATAGACTTGAGAGGATTATGTGTGCTCTTTTGCATCTGTATGGCTACAAAACGTCTTCTGTCTGCATTCTTTCCCATCTCTCTGATCAGCGGCATATGGAACAAGTATCTGAGCACGTTCTCACAGTGCTCAATTCAGTTATCAATGAGCCATTGGAAACTATTCTGTCTGTCAATCTGTTGTCTTCTCCCTCAGCTGCCTGTCTTTTGTTGCTGGACAGGGTGATTTAGCACTAGACGAGCGGCTGTCATGAGCACTGCCGTGGTTTGTATGGAGGAGAGAGTCAGGGACGCCCCTGTGTTTACAGGACTGCTGCTGGGAACTGACCTGGCTGTCCTAAACTCTATGGCTGAAGTCTTAGGTCTCTTTTAAATGCTTTAAAAGCTGTGGGCACTGTATAAGTTGCGTAGTGTTTATTCAGTGTGGTGGGAAGTGAGGGTGGGGGTATGGTGGGAGTCAAAGCGCCTGCTTAATTATCCCAAACTGCATTCATGGAGTCCAGACAAATGAGCTAAATGAGGAAAAGGAAAGCCATGACTTTTCTATTGTCTTCCTCCTTTCACGACTGTTTCCGACACCTCTGCCTGCTTTAGGCGCACAAGATGCCTAAAAGAATGTGCTTCAGCTTGAGATGTACAATAGCATGGCTTTGGCTTGCAAATGTGGGTGAGATCTTGGTCTTTTGTACTTTATTGGATTTGGTGCACCCTTCCTTTACTGTTTTGGAAGGAATTTTCTGTATAATGTGTGGCTTTGTGTTTCTGCAGTTTAAAGCGATAGCTTGGTTTAAAAAAAATCTCAAATGTTGGAGTTGATTAGCAAAGACATGTTTGGTGTTCAAACTTTTTTAGTTTTTGCACTGGAGCAACAAGGCTTACTGAAAAGTAATAGAAGCTTTTACACCACCAATTAGCATCATGCTAACTGCATGCCTAAATCCTCACACACTTGGCTCAAACTGTGCTGAGTTGACTTGTTTATGTGTTTTTTGACACTGTATAACATACTGTCATATAAATATGGACAAGCAAACTTTAGATATGTGACATACTTTTGTCCAAATGCCTTGGGTCATAAACTAGGCTATATTTGGGAAAAGGGGGAAGCTCCGTGTGCTAGAAGACACATCATGAGCCAAATAAGTAGTCAACGTCATGGTATTTCCGCTTTGAAACTGCAGTGCACCAGTGACAGTTTCAAAAAGACATGTCACCAGAGAACTTGTAGAGAGGAGAACTGCCACTCTGTAATGTGTTCCGGGTTTCTCAAACGCTAGAGGGCGCTCCCAAACGAGTCCCAAATGAATGGGTAAAGATAGAGCATTTGAGCAAAATCTTGGTTTATAAATGCAACATTTTTAATGTAAAACAATATAATAATTTCCTGAACAATGAAAAACATAAAACACAAAACTCATGTATGTTCATGACAACTTTGGCGAACAGCCAATGAACTGCTCCGTTTGCCAACCAATCAGCACTCAATAGCAGCAATGTCAGCGGCCCAAAACCCGTTTGCAGTAGAAAAAAGGAAATATATTGGTAAGTTTTCTTTACTTTTTTAGTGAAATAAATCCTACTTTCTAAAATTAAAGGGCAAGTGATTAGAAACTATTTTAATTTTTCGTTTTTAGCCATTAAGATCCAATTACTCCCATTCATTGAGGACTCGCTCGCGGGTGCCCTCTGGCGTTTTGTAGTCAAGTTTTTGATATAATTGGGGAAATAGGAAGTGGCCAGGCTCCTCATAAACTTGAAAAAATGTGAATGTTTATGTAAAACGCTGCCTGAGGTTACTCAGTTTGGTCACTTGTTTGAAGCCAGCATAGATGTATCCTAGCCTTCTTAAACGACTGGAAAGAAGATGCTAATGCTAACAGCTAATGCTGACTCAGCGTCCTAACTGAAATACATTACAACAACTTTTAGTGTGTAGGCACCCTGAGGCGCCAGAATGGAGCTGCCGCACCATTTAAGGGGGAACAGGAAAATTCGAATGAGAAGATGATGAATAAGAAGCTGACTTCAGTCTCATAACAAATCTAGATAATGTTAGACAGCATTGGACTTACAAGTTACGTCATGATTCGTGTCAAATGCTGAGAGGACACTTTATATGACTTCAGCATGTTGACAAAGAAAGTCAGGGCAAACGTTACTCAAAGTTGGTCAGATAGCTAAGCTTGCTAAATTAGTTGATGGCTATGTTCATTACAATAATTCTGACAACAAAAAATCACTACTTTGGGGTTGTTCACAAAGAAAGCGTGTCATGATAAATGTCATCTCCTTAAGCTGCTAGTATAGCATTAGCAACATAAGGTTATCTAATTCAAGTGCATATGGAACGTGGAGAAAGCCGATCTCTGAATAGAATATATAGAATATAGAATATGCAAAGAATATACAAACTTCTATTTGCATATTCATAGATCCGTGCATACTGAATGAAAACAGCTGTAGACTTACATCTCAGCAACTTCAAAACTTCAAAATATGTAACTTTGATGAACAGATGAGTTTTTAGGGGTTTCATCGATGCCTGGAGAAGGTCTTTAAAAACTAGTTTAAACTAATGGATAATGGGCTCTTTTTTGGACTTGGCCCTCTTTAGACTCAGTCTACACTTGATCTCATCACTCAAATTATAATCCTGGATTTAGCTCGACAGAGGTGGTCTTGACTACAGCCCTATTTGCTCCTGTAATTGATTTAGTGAATACAGTTAACTTTATACATTGAAACCTTCTAATGTGTCAGATTAAAATGACCTGGCAACTGAGGCTTTCCATTAGTTTGATCCTGCCACGTTAACTCGAACAAGCTCTCGCAGAATTGCAGAAACGCGTCAGAATTGTGTCGGTTTTTCATGTCAGTTGCTTCAGTGTGTCTTGTTTTTCAGACGTTGGTGTGGGGAGAGAGTGAATGAGCCTGGTTACTGTGGAGCCGGATGGCCTGCTGGAGGCTCTCAGTCACTGTGAGGTTTTTTAGGCCATTAGCTGAGCAACGATAAAGGCTTTCAGGTTGTACAGGGGACTAGACTGCCAAAGCAAACACTGTCCTCCCAGCCTCCTCCTCTGCCAAAATGAGGGTCCCTAGAATAACTACAGTCAAGCAGAGACACAATAATCAGTATGTCACAACTTTTTCACAGGCCATGTTTTGCTTTTATTTTTCCAATTTCCAATTTCCAAGTACTTTTACTTTCACTCCATTACATTTCACAATAAATAATGCCATTTTTTATCACACTACTTTCTGCAAGATTCTGTTAAAAAACTAGATTTTTCATAATATACAATAGAATATGATGCACATACACAAATAAATCCAACTAATCTTAGCGCACCTTTCGCTAACACCCTCCTGTAAATACTGAATATCCAATTGTAGCTTAGCAAATGCAGTAAGACCTGATCACCTCTTTCATCTCAGAATGAAGGAAAGCGAAGCTGTGCAGGGTAAAATCTGATTCCTGCTAATAGGAGTTTGGAGAAATGTTGGATAGCTTAGAATATCTTGCAATACCTTCACATTTGATACTAAAGTAAAAGCAAATACTTTTTAGTACGTCAACTCATGTAAAAATATAAATAGAGCACTTTTACTTGAGTAAAATTTTTCCAAGGGTATCTCTACTTTCTTTCAAGTACAGGATTTACTAGCTAAAAAAAAACAGAACAGCCAAATTTGCTTTAGTTTTGCACTGGATCTATAAGGCTAATGTAGCTAACAATTAATTAGCATCAAGCAAACTACAGGCCTGAATCATCATGCTTGCCTTAAAATTAAATTGTCAA